AGCAGCAGAGGGTTAAGTGTGTGTTAATAATTAATCCCAATTCTGTTGTGCGGTCTACTAATGATACTGAGAGGGAAAGACTGTGTGTTGCAGCAGTGCAGTGATTTACATTTACTTAGCTTGTGGGCTTTTGAGGAACAGTTTGAAGAATAAATGACAAAGATAAGACTCCAAAAACCATAAAGCCAACATTCACATGAAAAGGTGAGCATAAATTACATAAGGTCAGCTGAACCCACGCCGTCTAAACTTGTTTTAAACAGGCTTGTTCCTACTGCACATTTATTCCCCATAGAAGATAGACCAACAAGTGTCCACAGTTTGATTATGGCTTTTAAACAAGCCTGCCATATTGACTTGATATATCAAATGTTTTAATCATTGTTTACCCCCATTTGTGAGACAAAGACAGCAGGGTAATAGTTGCCTTTTAGGCTGGATCATTCTGTGTGTGTGTATATATATATATATATATATATATATAGTATGAGAGAGAGAGACAGAGAGAGAGAGATGATCGAGGAGCATTTGTTTGGTGGAAGGGCAATGAAACATGTAACAATGACTGCCTGAAGAAAACAGATACATTTCACCATTTTTGAGAAATCTGGGTTAATGTTAAGTAAAGGACTGGGGCAGAAGCAACTCACTACCTCTATAGTAAATGGACAGGGATACATTGAATTCTGGACATTTCCCTAATTCCATAATTTGAACTCAACCTGATGACGCTGAGGTGATTTGCCAGGATGTTCTTTAACAAAATCAACAACCAACAGTGAATTTCATTATTTTTGCTATTATATTCAACACTACTACCCAAATAATGCAACACTTTCTCTTGACTGATGCCTACTTTTAGTCAGAGCAGGGTCACCGTCCTTTTCAGCCGCTCAGGCTAATCAGTCTCTCTGAGACCGGGAGGTGAGAGGGCTGAGGACTGAGGGCAGAGAGGGCCCACACACGGGTCATCCTGAACTCCATTTCACCTGTCCACCTCTTGTGTTTTTCTTACTCCTCGCACCCTCCACCGCACTACACCCAGCACTCTTCCTTCTGCATCCCTGCTGATCTGCTCTGCTGCAGATGGCCGAAGCCCAGAAGTACCAGAGCCGTCATCAGCTATTTAAATTACTTTGCCATACGGCGTACTGCTCTGTTGTCGCTCCCTTGCTGCCCTAAACTTACCAAAATATAATAGGTGATACATTCTTTCAGTTATGTTCCATTTTGTGGACTATTCACAATAATTTGCACACACAAAAACACATTGAATAGGATTCAACAGACACTGCAATACTATTCAAAAGCAAAAGAATAAGTAGAACTAACATTTCATTGTGAATATAGCTATTTATTTCAATTAAACTCAGGTCAGGTTTAAACTATTAGAAATAATACTGCTCTAGTTTTGTAGGTGGATGACAAACTAGGATCATTTGAACCAGTAGGCATTTAGGAAGCAGAAATATAGCCGAGGTGTGATGAATAATCAGAGATCACCGTGAATGGTTGTGTTTTTTTGTTGCTTGGAAAACAATTTAGCTGATGATGATGCATGCACTGTGGGCCCCGAACACACATGAACTCCACTAACAGACGACAAAGACAGGAACCCGTATTAAATAGTGCGACAGTGTGCAGATGCCAAAAAAACGCCAACCACCAACAAGCACCGCAATCACACCCCCTCCCCTCTGTCCACAGACTTATTCCTGAAGCCATGTCTCCCTGGAATAAGATATTGTCACACCTGGTCCTTATTGTGTCTTCCAGCTTTGAATCCTTGACGTTATCTCTTCAATTAATCTTTGAACCTCACTGTAGGCATTAATTGGGTGTTGGAAAGCTCAGTTGCTACCATGGTTATACATCATAATCATTGATGTGAAAGAAAAAGAAAAATCACCAGTGTGCAGAGGCCCAATAAGCTGTTAAAAGCTTCACATGGACATGGATGCTGTCTGTATGGAGTTTGCATGTTCACCTTGTGTCTTCATATGTTTCCTCCAGGTACTTTAGCATCCTCCCACAGTCCAAGAAGATTAGTTAGGTTATTTGAACACTCTAAATGGCCCCTTGTGATGAATGTCAGTGGGTGTGGTTGTTTATCTCTGTGTGGCCCTGTGATGGACTGCTGACCAGTAAAGGGTGTATCTTAGCTGGGATAGGCTCCAGTAAAAAAAAACAACAACAAAAAACCCAACCATTAAAAAAAATAGAAATATAGCAGCCTGTCAAGCCAGAACACCACAAATATAAACAAAAAGACAAAAAGCTCTACCAGAACTAGGCAAGAACCACAAAGAGGAGCAAACTGAAAAAACAATAAATACTTTTGTATAGCATTTTGAATTAGGGGCAACAACTTTGCTAAGTTCAGTTCTTTTTGTTTTTGTTATTTTGCTCCTTTGGGATTTCGCTCTAAAACTTTTAAGGTCTAAAACAATTAAGGTCTTATGACACTTACATATGTTTCCTGCCTGTAATTTAAGGTCAATTGGTTGTTAATATTTAAAAAGTACCAATTTTAAAAGGTCATTGTTGCTTTCTGGAACTGTGGTCAATCTAAATCCAAGCTTCTAGGTGGTACTGCATGTAAGGTTCATATCAATAATATTTATCCTTTTGGGAAAAACTTTGAGGCTTTATTTTCATTTGTCCTTATTTTAGTAGAAAACCTGTTTCTCTGGACACACAACAAACCGCAGCTAGCTGATGGAAGATGTCTCTACACTCGAAATAGAATGAAAATCAATTATTTAAGTTGACACATTTTGTGAATGAAGTGTTTTTCTTTTAAACACACTCACCTTTTCCATACCTCTCCCGACAAAGATGTGTGCCTGTGTGTTTTTGGTTGCAGGAATTCTCTAGAGAGTTTTAAAAGCCAATATCCTGCAGGTATGGAAAGGTTCACTGTGAAATAAAGAGGCCACTAAACTGGCCTGCAAAGACTAGCCCACTGGGCTAACCTTGAAATTGTAATTCAGCCTCGCTCACAAAGGATGAGATAAAGAAACGGAGAGAAAGAGAGATGGGTAATAGTTACAACACAATAGATTACAGTTAATGTTCCAAGTGCTGCGCGTCAGAGAAGGAATTCATGTGAATCACGATTATTCATTAATCTTAATTGGATTTCTGTTTGCACATAGGTGAGACGAGTTAAGTGAAATCTCTCAAAAAAATGACACATCAAGCACAGACATATGAAGGAAAAGTATCTAAACGTGACAAGAGTGTGGACACTTAGCTACTTATAAACCGTCGACAATGTGACATCCCATTGTTCTGTTAGCAGATGTTAATTTGAACTACTGGTCTAAAAATGAACACAAAGTCTCCCATGCATGAGCATTTGTACGACTCTAAAACATCAGTCAAGGATTTTTTTTATTTAGGATACCCATTCACAACAGCAGTAATACATAGAAATAGTTATGTGCATTACTTGCACCTGCTATAAAAAGCATCTTTTTGAAGTCACAAGAAGTGATGACTTGTGAAATAAAACTTATACAGACTGACAAAACCAGAGGGAGAAACATTCACCTGCAGTAATTGGACAAAAAAAAAAGACTAAAGAGACTAATGATGCACAGCTTTAATTTAAGCATTCCAGTTTATCAGCTTCATTTGATGCTTGATGCTATGTCCAAATTCTTTATGGATGCAGTGACCCTACATGTTATCTTTGAGGAATAAATGATTTTAATGAATATCCTGATGTCTTTGAATTATGAATTGCTACAAACTCAAAGATGAAAAATACCACAAAATACCACTAAATCACTCACTGAATAGTCTAATGCTTATGGTATTAAATGACTTGTCTGGTATGAAACATCAACAGTGGTTGGCATTTTTACCTGGGCAGAGCAGAAAAAGAGCAAAAGAAAAGACAGGAAACTCACATAAGGTAAAAATCTTTTTTTTTTGTCCCCAATGAAAAGTGATTTTTTTTTTTTAAGAATTACGGAAACATTAAATTACTCTAGTAGGAGTACGCAGTACTTTAAATAGAAAAGCACTCAGAAAGTCAATTTTCAACATAATATTGATACAAATAATATGTTAAAGAGAATCAGAGCATGTTGAGGAACATGTGGAGGATTATAGTTGTTCCATCACACTTGAAAAAACGAGGAAAAAGCGTGACTTGGACAAGCATGTGTAAAAGAGAAAAACAAGAATTTACATGTCTGTGGCTATCTCAGATGGAAATGACTGACAAATCTAAACGCCTCTGACAACAAAGTGTCTCATTATCTCCCTGTACATTCAGTTTGTAGATCATTTCTGTTGCCGGATGATGGGTCTTTAGAGATGGTTGCCATCTCTAGCTTAACCGTGCAACATCAGCAATCATTATTGAAATCCTAAAAAAATTATAGACAGCTCTAGATAAAGGAGTCATTATTGTTCGTCAACATGTATCAAACGCCACGTAACCAAGTCACAAACTGACTCCTTATTAACTGTATGAATTGAGGTTTAGTCTCCCTAAGAAAAATTGGCTTCCTGAATGTCATGGCAAAATGCCAACCAATCAATGGAAGGCCACCTATATCGGTCCAGGGATAGCTATTAAGCCAATGCATGTGGCGATAGGTAATATTTTCATTTGACTTGTTTGAATGATTTTCTGATTTGGTGGAAAATATAGACCAGGAGAAAATGTCAGACTTTTTTCCAATAACTGACCGAGGTAGCTGCATGGTATATCCTCAAATGATTGGGATTTTACGGCATGGGAGTGATAATTGTAATGTTATACGATCAAAATTTTGAACATACTGGGCCACAAGCCATGCCTTTTTGCTGTGTTATGAACCTTATTTATCTTTTACCCATCGGCTAATAGTCATCCAACACACGACGGCACTGACACAGTGTAATATACATTAAACCACACAACAACTTTTCTTAACGCTACAGCTTACCACATAAAACGGTTCATGACACGACAAACTTTTGCTTTTTTCTTCAACCTCCAGGTTGAATGTGGAGTTTGATCCACTCAACATCCCCGGCTTTTAGAGCAGGAAGATAAGTGAAGACGTGCAGCGCTTTATTTCCATGTCAGGATCTGCTTTTTCCACCTGATTGGCCCTATATCACACAGCTGGAGGTGGAAACAATGACCGGGATGAGGAAGAAAAGAGCTAAACGTAACAGATTGAGGGACGGATATTTGATGAAACAATCTCACGGGACGTGCGAGGAGGTGAGCTGAATCGTAAATCTTCATCCCCACTGACCCGCACTTTGGATGCGGACACTTTTAATGCTCATGGTGTTAATTTATGCACAGCGTGAGAAAAAAACTCATCATGATAATTCCAATGTGCCAACACATGTGAAATGAAGGGGAGAAGAGCAGGAGGGAACATCACTGATGGCCGCTATCATTTTACCAGGATTTTTTCCCTGGTCAATTGTACTTTAAAAATAGGCTTTCAGTGTACGTTACAATGACAATTTTGAGCATACATTTTAAAATATATAAAAAATATGTGTAAAAACAAATTTCAAATAAGTACACTTTAGAAATTACACAGACCGTTCACTTAAAGTATATTTCTTTAATAATCTTTTTCTATAAAGTGTACTATAGTGTAATTATTTAAAGTGTGTAAAAAAGTGTTAGCATGAAAGCGTGATGTTAGTATACTTTTGATATATTTACAAAAAGTACAATTTGTGTAAGTACATTTTCAATATACTATTGGAAATAAGAATATACTTGAAATACAATAAAGTACTTTTTTTTTCATCTGGGAAGCTTCTTGTGAATAACCTTTATGTCTGGGGTGGGAATAAAAAAAAATCTACCATGCCACCTTATTTATTCAAGTTGTAAAAATGTGATTAAGCACCATAAAGTCTCACATTCAGGTGCTACACAGTAAAAACGAAAAACTGCTACATTTCATGCTGTGTCCCTCCTACATACCTCCATGTGTCCAACTTTTGGTCTCCACTGTGTAAGGAGGAAAATCATAAAGCAGAAAGTTGGGGGAGTGGGTGTGGGAGTGGCGGCTTATTACGACTCCCACTGGAAGACGTTCAAAAGAGCAGCAGCTATGACAACCGATGTGCCGGGGTTTGTTGCTTTCTTTTTTAATCTAGCCCTAAGACATATGTTTATCAAAGCAAATTTTACAGCATCTGTTTTCAAGGCTTTGCAGCACTGCTCAGCTATCCCAGAATTCAAAGGAGCGGGCCAGAAGATGAAATGATGAACACATCAGCGGTTCAATCTCACCGAGATGTGGCAACGCGGCGCAACAACAAATCACTACGGTAATGGGATCATTGTATGGCTGTATATTGATATTAAAGCTGATATTAAAGCCAAACGAAACTGTGTGGGAAGAAAAACATCTCTGTTGGGGCCAACTAACTTTTGTTTATACAGAAGCAAGAACTCCTGCAAAAAACCTCTGCACAAAATGGTTATCCTGCGATGCATAAAAAGGCATATTTGTGCACTCTACTTAAAAATGCATCAAAGTTTTTCTCTTCTTAATGTCCCCCCAGTAAATTTCATCCGCCTTCTGTTCGGTACCTTTTTTTAGTCAAGTAAAAATCTTTTGTCGAAAGTGAAAATATTGCAGGGACTGCTGACATTTGTCTGAGAGCTTATCTCAAAACTGACAGCTTTACAGCACAGGGAGTCATTTAGTCATTTGGTAATGATTAAAATTGATTTCAACACGTTTTACTTTCTCTACTTTTCAGAGAGCAGGACAGGTTTTAAACCCTTTAAACAAGCAAGTGTAAAGGAAAGCAGGTTCTAATTTTCTCATTTTTAAAAAGAGAGTTTTACCTCTTAGTGCTGCTTTAAAGTACTATGCAGAGAAGAAGAAAACAAAATATAGACAGCTCATGCCTGGCTGTTTTTTTACATTGTAAGAGCTTTATTCTGTACAAGGGCTTTAATTCCTCTGTGCACAGATTAGTATAACATTTCCCCCTGTGCATCTGTATTATCCATTTCCCATGGTCACTCATCTTAGGTCGAACTCAACTTAGTGCTTTCACTGGATAAAACATCCCTAACAAACTTAATGATCATTTGGCTTCTACACACTGAGAACTAATTTAACAAAACAGATTTAATAGAAAAATAAAAACTCAGAAATGTTTTGAACCTTTTCGGTTACACTCTTGTATATGAATATGAGTTGTTGTTTTTTTTCTTTTTTGCTTGTTCAGTTGTTGGTGTACATAACCACTGCAAAATGGAGATGTTTGAAACAACTAAAGGGGGAAGTGATGCAAAGTGTGTTGTTATTCTCAAACTCTCAGGCATTAAGATGCAGCCTGTTGAATTCAATTTTTTAAAAGTTCCCATGTTGTTTCTGCAGATCTAAACAAAACAAGCCTTCGTCTTTGAAAAAGTCATTTTTCTAGAGCTCTTCGACTAAAATGCGAGCGTGCTGTTTGTTTGTTTGTTTCATTAGCTATTTTCTTTTATCTAATACGTTTATCTTTTATCAAATATTTTTGCTCCTCTGTGATTTTCATATCCCAAGGTTTGATATTTATAATCCAAAGAGAAAATAAGTGTTGAGCTTCTGCAAAAAGCTTTTGCCTCACAGATAAGCTATCAACCAATTATATGAATAAGGGAAATTGAACCAACTACACAAATTATTAGGAGACGCAGCATTTTTTTGTCTCTGGCATCTGATGGACTTTGACTTTCAATGCATGACGTCTAAGCTTAAATCAACTGGCAAACTTTAGTCATGATGTTAAGATAATTCCAAAAACTACCTGACAAAATCCAGTTTGGTTTTGTTCTTTCACGTTTTTTGTTTCCTTTTACTGTTTTGTCTCTTTTTCTCTGTATTTTAATAAGAGAATCTTTAATGGAGTGTTACTTAATTAGCCTTCACAGCTTGTGTGTTCACATTTAGCCATGGTTGACATCACTGTTAAACCACCCAAGCATTCTTTCTGCAAGCACATTTATTGTTTGTATAAAACAAAACTAAATAATATCATATTTTAAGTAATGTAAAAAGTATTATTTTTTAAAGTGATAAAGAAGATTTTTTTGTTTGTTTTTGTTGTAATTTTAATGCTTAAATGTAGTTGTTCTTTTTTCATTTTGACTTTGGTTTCTCAGCTGTATTTCAGCTTCTCTCTTCCTTGAGGCATGTCAAAGAGAATGTGTTATCCCATGAGTATTGTTGTTTGTAATTTAATCCATGGAACAGATAAAAACAGAGAGCCAGAAGAAAGTATAGATTTCAGTTTTTCAGCTGAAACTAATGTCAGCCTACGAACTGGAAGCAGTTTGTCACAGATTATTACAACACCTAGATGTGAACAAAGATGCTGCTTTTCTCTACAAGTTGGTGGAAAAAACTCTGAAAAATAGTTTAGATCATTATAGTAAAATAGAGAAAAATTTAAGCCACCTAAACTATCATTTCAAATAAATTATATTATTTTAGTTGACAAAAATAAAGCAACATCTGCACAATAAGACATAAGAATGAATGATTAAAGTCTAATCGCTCTTTAATTTTTATAGTTTAAAAAAAGACATACTTAAAAGATGGACAGAGTTCATTGGCCCTGAAATATAGAATATGAAAACGGCCATAAACCTATATTTAGTTTGACAGCCAGCCTGAAGCCTATCCTTGCGAAAAACACGTCAAATTGCGCAGAAAGTACATTTTAATCACGATTTACTTCTTGATTCTGAGCTACCAAAGCGAACTGCATTGTGAAAAACTTACTTCATTTGCATTGAGTCTGTTTATTCTAGAAACTGAAGCAAATAAAAACAGATGCATCATTACTCTACGAGCTGCGTCTTCGTCTTTGATAAGGTGGCATCGTGGGTAATAGGTTGTAACAGGCCGTGCAGTTAAGATGCAGTCAAGGAGTAGAGAATCAGCCACTTTGATTATGTGGGCCCAGTGTAAACCTTTTTCATGTGTCAGAAAATTGTTGCACGTTAAAAGAAAGAGGATTGTGCTGTACTGAGTCAGGCTTGTGGAGTTGATTTTATGCAGAGCCACAATGATGAATAGCACCAACTCTTCATTTCCTCCTGGTATTTTGAGCAGCTTTCAGATGAGACAGCTGGAAGAGTTCTACACTGTTGCATCTGCTGTGTTTCACGGTGGATGTTTCTGTTGAATCTGGGGAACATCTGGCAAAATTTCCTGGTAACAAAGATCAACGATGAAAGGTGGATCAAATATTCAATATTTTTTGGTGTATGTTTATGCTTCCAGAGTCGAACGGCTTGTTTCAGTTAAATCGTCGCTCTGTTTGATCCATTAATCATATTCATTTGAGCTGATCTGACATCTGTCTGCAGCAGATACACCCACAGCCTCTCAGAGCCGAGAGCTCTGTCAATTCTCCCACGATTTTGACACCTAATTCTATTTACTCAGTAATTATGGTATCATTTATGTTTGGTTAAGTGGTTAATAAAACATGATGTTAAAAATGTGACAAACTCAAAATGAAAATCTATTTCTGCTTTACTCAGCCTTTAATAATCACCCCATGCAGCATTTCAGTCATAGTGATATATGCTAGCTCATGTGTCCTGTCCATGTATGTTGGATACTTACTGTGTACTTCCTGATTTTTTAGTGTTTGTTGTTTTTTTTCTAATGGTAGTTTGCCACACGTGTTCACACACAGAGGTAAGGCCTTGGCATTTACTTTTGGCTGGCTCGTAATTTGAATGGCTATTATCTGTCTGATAAAAACAAAGCTGGCTGATTCACGGAACATAAAGAAAATCGTTTCATTTGTGATTTATATTGAGCAAGCAGCTTAACGGTAATTGTTTTTATGCTGAGGCCGCATACTAAACGAAACTGCTCGGAACAGCACGGGTTCCTCACAGAGCACAATCTAATGGAAACATTCCCAAAAGGGCTTCAAAAGCAACAAATGTACAAAAGAAGACTCGGGCTTAGTTTAAAAGACCAGTCGAACACTTGCCTACAGAACAGCCAGTACAAGACGGAGAGCGGGCACAGACCAAACAC